AAAAAAGTGCGAGCTCCGCTTTTAGGCTTGGCTAAATCTATACATTACATTTACGGGTTGCCTCTTGAGTGTTTTACTTGACTGATATCTTTGAGTAGAAATTCATTCAATGTCCATTACCTTAAATTTAGAATCAGTCTTAATAGTGTATTAGAAAACGTTGATTTTTAGAAATTTCAGGGGCGGGCGAAATTCGTTTGATTACAAGTCAATCTTTTGATTCTTTTGGAATTTCTTTAGAGGTATTTTACTTTCCAAAAAAAACAAAAAAACAAAAAAAAACAAAATATATATATATTCAATTGTTATCTTCCCTATTGACCTTTATGAGTTCGCTCTTTGACTCCAAAGGATTCCCATAAATTATTTACTCGTGAACCTGGCAATTTCCGATATCCTGTTTGCAACACTTATCACACCAAAGATTGTTGTAAGCTTCAATATAGTCCACCCGGATGGAACTGTAGGCTCAGTCCTCTGTAAGTTGGTGACAGGTGGAAATCTGGCCTGGCTTCCTGGAATCACCTCAGTTGTTACTTTGGTAGCTATTGCTGTGGAACGATATTATACTGCGCTTTATCCACTGGATCCAAAGAGAAAACTGACTTACCGTAAGTTTAAGGTGAGTCAAAACATTCCCGTCGACTTACCAGGTGAAAATACTGTCTGAGGTCTCTGACCAGCTGTTATTGAAAAGGAATCGTTTATCAGCATTTTCTGGTCCGTTCGACGTTTAATTTTCACGAGCTTAGATCTCAGGATCCGACATCGGAACCTTTATCTTAAGTTAACAATCACCTCCAAGTCCCTCAAGAAATATCAGGGAAAGTTGACTTGGAATGGGTAATGTTTGAAAATAAATTCATCCGCAGACTCAGACGAGAACTTCATTTGGACCCAGTAGGCGCAAAAAATCTTAGTTTTGTATATTACATTTATGGCAGAGGTAGCATACCCTTTATCAAATTCATTGACATGGTACAACAAGACTAATTGTCATTCCTCATGCCTTAAGTACGGTCATTATTCCTTACGCAAAAAGCGCGGTCAGTATTTCTTATGCAATAAGCATGGTCAGTGCTTTGGATATTCGATAACGACATATGTTATTCCTAAACTTGAAAAACACATTCTAATAAGAAGGAATGAATGATTTTTAACGTAATAGAATTCGAATTCAATTTTTTTATTTAAGGGGTATGCATAGCCTCTCTTGATGACCGAAAAAGCAAATACACCTCGGATCAAATTATTTTCGAAGAAAATGAAACGCTTCCATGAATTTATATTTCAGGTGATCGTCCTTAGTTCTTGGGTGTTCTCGCTGATTTTCAACACACCAAAATTTTTCGTCAGGACATTTGATGACCAGAAAAATCATTGTGTGCAAACCTGGCCCAAAAGGTGGATGATTAAAGCTTACTGCTTGGCGTGGTTGTTTCTGATTGTAGTTTCCGTTGGCATAATGATTGTGTTATACTCTAAAGTAGTATACACGTTATGGTTCAAACCCATTGATGGCAACCCACTAAACTATCAACAACGGGTGAGTTAATAATTTTAAATTATGTCTGGAATAGTCACACCAATTCAGCTTATACTGAGTCAGTTTAGGTTAGTAAGGCTGAAGTAGCCAGAGTAGAGGTATAAACAATTTTCTCTGTGGTTATTTGTTAGAGCTCTAGTGAGAGTACTTTTATTTTCTACATGCGCATGACGAGTGTTTACCGCAAGGTCTACAGCAGGGTCGCAAATATATGCTACAGAGTTTTCATTTAAATTTCTGCCTCAAAGTCTCGAAGAATTATGTTGTCAAATTTACTAAGCATGCACTTTCCTTGCCGTTAACAGAAAAATAAAATAATTGTAACCCCTGATATGAGTGAGGATTTAATTGGTAATAGCATCTGAGCTGACAATATCTTCTCTTTCCTTATACTTGATTGACAGGGTGTGCTGAAGGTGCGGAAACGCGTCACTTTGACGGTCATAACTGTCAGTGTCATATTTGCGATTTGCTGGGGAGCAGAGTCAATTGAATACGTGTTAAGATTTCTCACGACTCTGAACATTACCTTCGTCCATATTACCATCGTTGACATGATGGTGTTGTTTAATTCAGCTATTAACCCATTCATATATGCCCTCCTGAACCATCAATTCAGACAGAAGATCAGAA